TCTTTAAACAAAGAAGTCAAGCCGACTACTTGACTTTCCAACGAGTTGTTGGATTCTGCTGCCATGACTCGTTTCGATGATGACCTTCCGTTGTAATGTCTCGAGTTTTCAGCCAACTCCGAAATGAGGTCTCTTGCTTGAGAAGGGGTCTTGTTAACAATACCCCCTCCGCATGCCGCATTCACCATGCGTCTATCTTGATCAACAAGTCCATCATAGAAGTAGAGGATGAGATCTTGTTCTGAATACCCATGATATGGGCAACTAGCACATAATTTTTTAAAGCGTTCCCAATATTCATATAAGGTCTCATTATCCGCTTGCTCAATGTTGCTGATTTGCTTCTTGAGACTTGAAGAGATAGATGCGGGATAGTACCTGTCAAGGAAGCTCTTTTTCATTTGATCCCATGTATTGATGCTCCCCGAGGGAAGATAGAATAGCCAATCTTTGGCGGTGTCTTTGAGAGAGAATGGGAAGGCTCTCATATTGATTTGCTCCTCGGACACGCCATTGGGGCACATGCTTGTGCACACAATATGGAACTCTGACAAATGTTTATTTGGATCTTCCCCTCGTAGGCCATGGAAAGAGGGAAGTAGATGAATGAGCCCAGATTTTAGCTCGAATGTGACCCTCGTATCAAGAGGTTGAAAAGTGATACATAAGGGTTGATGATTTAGATTTGGAGCCGTGAGCTCCCTCAGCGTTCTTGTTTCCAGGGCCATGTGGAAGGACTCTTCGGATTCGCTAGAATGAGAACTAACACTTGATGATTCCTCCGAAGAAGTATTCGGAAATAGATTCCTGAATCTCTCGAAGGCTTGTTCTGTTTCGGGCTTTGTTTGGTAGGTGATTTGGTTTATAGATCGGTGTTTAACCATATACTCAAACAAAGCTCAGCCAAAATAGAAATCTTTATATATAATTTTTTTTTGATTTTTCTTGAAATAAAATAAAAAGAAAAATTAATTGCTTTTCCCCGGCAACGGCGCCAAATTTGACGAGCACTTTGTCACAGTGCGTCAAAATAAATTTCAATACTAAACACTTATACGTAGTATAGTGTAGTAGAGTTCGTATCCACATGGAAAGGAATAATTCTCTTTTTATGATACTTAGTAAATAAAAGGGGGGATTTGGATTGAGTGATTTAATTTTAATTAAGAACTAAGATGAACAACCTATATGTGTTTAATTCAAAGATAAAAAGGACTTGGTATTGCTACTTTCCACTTGTTGATATATTTTAGTCGATCATTGTTATATCTATAACTTATTCCCTCTCGAATACTCAATCGGGGAGTATATCCACTTCATCGAGGGTAGTTATTAACAACGACCGTTCATTAATAACCCTTACTATTAATCAAATATAGAACAACGCCTTATACCGATTTAATAGTAGCATTTAATCTTTCTAACTCCTTGATGAAATCAATTGAGATTGATAACCTCAACACAAGCGGTTTCGGTTTAACCAACAAAATTAATCCCTCTTAAGTTTATTAACCACGACCGTGCATTAATAAACCGAAGTTACTTACTTGTGAAACCATCAACGATTAACCATCGATTCGTTGATCGTTTGTAGTAATAATTAATATATGAAACAAAACTAGTTGATCCTTTAAGTAATGTTCAAAATATTAATATGAAATAAGAGTAGGAATTAATTAATATTCAAGGAAGAATATTATTAAAGAAGATGAATCCTACTATAATTAATATCAAGATGTTAACTAATTGTCATCTTAGCAACACTCCCCGACATTAATATAGAAGAAGAAAATACCATACTAACTAACGTCGAGATGTTAACTAATTGTCATCTTAGCAACACTCCCCAACATCAATATAGAGATGGTATTAAGGAAAGAACTATTAATTAATATTCAAGGAAAGAAGTTAAGAAAATAACTCACAACTTTAATAATCAACAAGCTTCAAGAGCAACACCAAGAATGGAAGTTTAGCTCCTCATTTGGAGGCTAAACATAGCTAGAAAAATATAAAGAAATGTTATTCTAAACTGAGCTAAAGAGTATGGAAGAAGGGATGATTTTTAGAGAAGAAAAAGAGTGCTATTTATAGGTGTTTTTCAACACCTTTTGCCGGGTACCCGACCGGGTATAGTACTTACCCGACCGGGTGCATGTCAAAATCAAATATCCTCCACGTTCTGGCGATCTTCGGCATGTTAAAGTGTCCGGGTCAAGTCAGACCCGACCGGGTGGGGTAAGGGGCCCGACCGGGTGAGTGCAAAAATTGGATATTCTTCACGTTCGGGTGATCTTTGCACACTGGGTTGTCCCCGGTCACTTCTCACCCGACCGGGTGAGGTAGTGGGCCCGACCGGGCCATGCACCTTCTTTGCATTTTCGTTTTTCACTTCTTACCCGACCGGGTCAAGTGTTATACCCGGTCGGGTATTTGCTCCTGGGCAGCCAAATCTTCTTTTTCTTCACTTCAAAATCTTCCTTTCCAACACCACAAATCCTAACTAAACTTTACAACTTACAAATAAAGGCTAAAATACAATTACAACTGAAATCACATAAATGTTTACAAACTAAATAAAACGTCAAACAATTAACATAAATCAAACATAAAAACATGTAATTATGCACTACTAATTAGTGTGCATCAATACGAACCTTACTTCACTATACTACGTATTAGTGTTGTATTGATAAATTATTTTGAGTGCACCTCACGACAAGTGCACGTCACCTATTTCAACTCCATGGGTTGCCAGTTCTCAGCTTCACAGTTCAATCGACTCTTCTCTTCCATATCCTACTCTATATCGCTCTCTTGTCGGTGCTCTTCAATACTTAACAATTAACCGTCCAGAGTTGTCCTTTGCGGTTAACTCCATAAGCCAATACTTGCAAGTGCCAACGAATCTTCACTTCCAGGCAGTGAAGCGCATTTTACGCTATCTTAGAAGCATGATCTCATGCGGCCTTTTGTTCACTCGTTCCGCTGGTCCTATTAATGTTCTTGGTTACTCCGATGCTGATTGGGCTCGATGCATTGAAACTCGACGTTCCACCTATGGTTTTGCTATTTTCTAGGACCAAATTTGGTCTCTTGGAGTGCTAAGAAACAGTCCACTGTTGCTCATTCCAGTTGTGAGTCTTAATACCGAGCTATGGCCAACATGTCCTCTGAATTAATTTGGATTCTTCATGTTCTTCGTGATTTATGTGTTCCACTCACCACATCCCAGATGTTGCTTTGCGATAATAAAAGTGCTATTTTTCTATTTCAGAATTCTGTCGCTCACAAACGCACCAAACATATTGACATAGATAATCATTCTGTTTGGGAGTTAGCTTCTGCCGGCAAGCTACTTGTTAAACATATCCCTTCGGATTTTCAGCGTGCGGATATATTTACTATGGGCCTTACTCGTTCATCGTTCGAGTTCTTTCGTTCCAAGCTTCAATTTGGTTTTCACCCTACCTCTTGCTGGAGGGGGGTGTTAGTGTATACTATATTGTGGGCTTATGTATAGTGTCTTATCAGTCTTATGGGCCTACTTTATATCTTTTATTCTAGCCCATCTCTCTCCTTTAAATACGGTAATATATGTAATTACATAGTGGGTTTTCATATCATTAACACTTCTAAAATACTCGTAGTAAACTATTGGGAGAATATGAATTTACACTCCATGTTTTATGTGATATTTGACTTTACAATTCATTTTTAAAATCATTAATGTATGCACTCCATCAAATAAAAAATTGTGAAGGAATTGAGTGAGGTGCAAAGTCAAATGATTTTATAGTTAATTGGAGTGCATATTACATTAATGTTTTTAAAAATATGGTGCAAAGTCATTTATCACTCAGAACATGAGATACAATGTCAAATTTTCTCAATACTTTACTATGAGTATTTTTTTGACACATACTATGAGTATTTTAGAAGTACTCATATAACCTCTCACATAGTATGACATTAATTTTGTAGTGAGTTTGTGCTTTTTTTTTATTTTCACCACAGCCTATTGCCTTTTCGCAAGGTAAGGGACCTTCCGCCTTTTCGCAAGGTAGTACTCCCTTCATCCCAGATAGAATTTGATGTTTGCTTTTGACACGGTATTTTAGGAGCTCAATTAATAGAAGAACAAATACCTTGCATGACCTTTGACTTTGGGAGGAATTAATGTTATCCACTCAAATGTAAAAAGTGGGTAGGTAATGAAGGATAGTTAGGATATTTAATGTAAAAGGAGTTGCCTACAAAGAAAACATAAAGGAGTAAATGAAATGTCCCAAAAAGGAAAGTGTAAAGATTTAAATGTGAGGAGGGAGCGGGAATCACCAAAAGAGTAGTCTTGAATCGAATGAAACTACCAAATGCTCCATTTATTGCTCCAAAGAGGAGAGGCCGGGATTGTTTTGGACTTACCCTTGCCAAAAAATGGAGAAACAAAAATGGGAGAGGAGAATATAACTCCTACAATATTCTTTTGAAATTGCAATAATCTTATATGAGAATATTACTCGAAATAGGACTAAAACAGTTTGAAAATTCCAAAATAGGATTGTCATGTTTTTATTCCCAAAATAGGACTAATTAATGTCATGTTTTGACAGTACCAGACTTTAAAACATGGCGAAATTTTTTAAACATACCAGTAATTAGTCCTATTTTGAGAATAATAAACATGATAATTCTAATTTGAAATTTTCAAACTGTTTTAATCTTATTTCGAGAACTTTCCCTTCTTATATCCACAATTAGTGAATTTTAAGCAGATGGTGAATATATAGGATATAATTAATTAGAAAATCGGTTTGAAAAAGCGTGGGAGGCAAGGATGGTGAGAAAAGTCAAAATGAAACACCGTGTTATATTTTCAAAAGGTGAATTGAAAATTGCGTTAGTAATCAATCATGTCGGGGTTGAACACCAAGTTACTCCGTTTAAATACCGCCTCATTTGTTGCCCTAAAATGCTCCAAGTACAGTCTGCCAGTCTCTCTGGCCTGGCCTGGCTCCCCATTAGTATATTCATTCTCCTCCTACTATATTATATCTCTGGCAACTGGCCGCCTTATTTTTGCGGGTTCTGGAAATGAAATCCCAGATGTTGAAACGCCACTGCCAAAGTTTCATGTTTCTGGCCGCACTACTTCCTGTTTGTCTGGAACTCATCGGTCACCATACTGCTTCGGCAGAGATCAAAGAAAACACTTACATTGTTCTAATGGACACCTCACACAGTTCCTCCCGGTTTGAAGAAGACCATCTTGGTTGGTACGATTCCACCCTCCAATCTGTTTCTGAAACTGGGGGTAGTAAGAAGCTTATTATGTATGCCTACAAGAATGCAATCTCTGGATTCGCGACTAGATTAACGTCGCGGGAAGCTATGGCCCTGAGACAGCGGCCGGAGGTACTCGGCGTGCAGCTGGAAACCAAGTACGACCTTCATACCACCCGTACACCGTTGTTCTTGGGCATCGACAAGAGCACATACTTTTCCGTCGCGCCGCCGACTAATCTGAAGATGAGTGATGTAGTGATTGGGGTTTTGGACACAGGGGTATGGCCCAAGAGTGCGAGTTTCAATGACACTGAATTTGGGCCGGTTCCAAAGACATGGAATGGAACGTGTGAAACGGGCAGGGATTTCAACTGCAATAAAAAGCTGATCGGCGCGATGTCCTTCCACAAAGGCTACAAAGCCGCACTAGCTACGACTAACCAGCCGATGGAAGAGTTGATGTCGCCGCGAGACTTCGACGGCCATGGCACCCACACGGCTTCAACCGCTGCCGGATCTCTAGTTTACGGTGCGAGCCTTTTCGATTTCGCTGCCGGAACTGCTCGTGGAATGGCCCCGAAGGCTCGACTGGCAGTGTACAAAGTCTGCTGGCTGGAAGGTTGTTTCGACTCCGACGTACTGGCGGGCATGGAACAGGCAATTCAAGACAAAGTCAACATCCTTTCATTGTCCATCGGCGGAGCCATGAAATCGTACGACAAAGATGTGATTGCCACCGGAGCTTTCGCTGCGATGGAGAGGGGAATCTTTGTCTCATGCTCCGCCGGAAACAGTGGCCCTGCATACTTCACCGTGTCCAACCTTGCACCTTGGATTACAACCGTTGGTGCCGGGACTCTGGACCGCGATTTTCCGGCGTCAGTGAGTCTAGGAAACGGGGAGACCTTCACCGGTGCTTCACTGTATAATGGCCCGTCACTGCCTAAAAAGATGCTCCCGTTTATCTACGGCGGGAACGCCACCATATCCATCAAAAACTCCACCGCAGGGACACTGTGTATGGAGGGCAGTTTGGATGCGAAGAAGGTGGCGGGCAAAATTGTACTTTGCGACCGCGGAGGAAATTCTAGGGTTGCAAAGGGTGCAGCGGTAAAAAAAGCCGGTGGCATTGGTATGGTGTTGGCAAACACCGCCGAAAATGGGGAAGAACTGGTGGCGGACGCCCACTTGGTTGCAGCCACGGCGGTTGGTGAAAAAGACGGCGACAAAATCAGGAATTACTTGATGTCGAACTCTAATAATGCAACGGCCACTATCGCCATCGAGGGAACAAAAGTGGGAATAGAAGTTAAAGAACCATTCCCTGTAGTGGCGGCGTTCAGTTCGCGGGGCCCGAACCCATTGACTCCTCAAATACTTAAACCGGATATCATCGCGCCCGGAGTCAACATCTTAGCCGGGTGGACCGGTTCGGTGGGTCCAACAGGGTTACAGGATGACACCAGAAAGACAGATTTCAACATCATTTCTGGCACCTCGATGTCCTGCCCTCACGTGAGTGGCTTAGCGGCCGTGCTTAAAGGGGTCCACCCGACCTGGAGCCCCGCCGCAATCCGCTCGGCACTCATGACCACCGCTTACAGCAACTACAAGAGCGGCAGGCCGCTGATCGATGCGGCGACGAGGAAGGCGGCAACTCCTTTTGATTTCGGGGCGGGTCACGTTGAACCGGCATCGGCTATTGACCCAGGTCTGGTGTACGACATTGACGTCAAAGATTACCTTGATTTCTTGTGTGCATCGGGATACACGCAGTCTCAAATCATCACTCTGATCAAAAGAAACTTCAATTGCCCACCGGGCAAGAAGTTCAGCGTCACAGATCTGAACTACCCTTCCTTCGCTGTTTGGTATAATCGCACAACCGGAAAGGGCGGCGGAAGCTACACGAGAACACTCACCAACGTCGCGGCAGAACCCGGAACGTACAATTACAAAGTCCCTGTTAAGGTAGATAACAGCAGTTTGGTCAATGTGTCGGTGCAACCGGATACCCTCTTGTTCAGTCAGATAAACGAGAAGAAAACGTACAAAGTAACTTTCAGTGCTTCAGCAAACGGGTATCCGGACACGGGCATCATGTCCGGGAGACTCGCATGGACTGCTGGGAAGTATATTGTGGGAAGTCCCTTGGCCATTTTATGGACTACCTGAATCACTTAGCTTCCCACCATGCATAACATACGCTCGCATTTCAATTTTGATGTACGCATGTGTGCTATACTTATATCGTTATAATTTGTACTCTGTATTTCTTTCAATATCGTGTTATACCATGCATAACATACCCTCGCATTTCACTTAACTTTATTACTTTGAACTTGTTTGATTATTTCTATATATAGTACTATCTCTATCCCAAATGGATTTGTAAATTTGAGTTTTCGTTTATCAAACAGTTTCATTTTATTCGCTTAATTAGGATGTCAATTTTTAATTATATTCTAATTTCGAGTATACAACTTTGAAAAGATTTTAATATAGTTTCTGAATATGTAAATTTTAATTATTAAAAACAGAAATAATTATCGATTGGGAGGATTCACTTTTATTAGTAGTTGACCAAAGAATGTTGATTTTGCAAAACAATTTGGGACAAAGTGAGTAGTACGTGTATATATAGCCAATCTTTCATGCATGTCCAGCCAGTCTGACAGGAACCGCTGTCCGGCCAAGCTCGTTTGGAATTTTTTGATAAAAATTTGAGTAAATTCCCTAAATAGGAGTAAAAAAAAATTTAAATACCAAAATAGTACTACCATGTTTTTTATCCCTAAATATGAGTAAATTTCTGTCAAGTTTGGCATTACTAGGCTTTTAAACATGACATTTTTTTCCAAACTTGGCAGATTACTCCTATTCAAGGAATAAAAACATGATACTTCTATTTTGGAATTTCAAAATATTTTTACTCCTATTTAGGGCAATTTCTATAAAAAAAATTGAGCATGTTCTTCATCAAGTCTAGTTTACCCTTACAAAATTTTCAGGTAAAAATTCAATCGGGAAGAAAGCCAAATGATTTTTTGAAAAATATCGCGTTGTTTATATATATTAACTGCGTAGTATTCTTAAATAATTTATTTGAACATTTCATTTCCATGTCATCTGTTTACCGGGTGGCATGACAGGTGACCGAATGTTGACTTGTAAAAAATAAATTTGAATCTTTTTTGCCAAATTTGAGTGTGAATTGGACCTTTTTGAGTTCAGATAGTGAATTGAGCAAACACAATAAGTACATTGACTTATTTGACCCTTTAAGCTTTTACTTTTAATTGACACGCAAAGGCATTACGGTGCTTTATAAAAAGCATGCAAAGTATTCTCCCAAACTTTTATGGTACAGTGCGACGTGTCACGTGTTTATAACAAGTGTCCTATAATTTAATTAAATAATCCAGTCAAAGTAATTGTTTTACCGCATATCAAACTCTCTTAGTCGATTCTTTTGTTCTCCAATGAAGTTTTTTATGTCTCATTACTCTTTAGGTTTTAGATCCAATGATCGATGTTTTTACTTGGGTTTATTTCAGTCTCAGATCAGACCAGATCAGATCAGACAAATTATATCACACTTTGACAGTTGTAAAATACACGTATACTAGACATTCCACTACAAAAAAACACGTCGTTTGTCACGGACTTTGTCACGGACGGCAGTTCAAAAAATCCGTGACAAATGATTTTTTGTCACGGATTTGTCACGGATCCCATCCGTGACACCATGGGCGTGATAACGTTTTCGTCACAGAAATTAATCCGTGAGAATGTTTGTCACGGATTTGTCACGGCCACGGTCCGTGACAAAACACTTCACCGGAATCCCATCGTCTTTCATTTGTCACGGACGCATCCGTGAATAAATGTTTTTATTTTTCAAAAAAAAAAATAATTACTTGTCACGGAATTATCCGTGACAAATTTTAAAAAGGTTTTTCAAAATAGAGTGGGCGGGAATTTGAAACGGTCTGGAAAATTCAAATTTTAAATTTTGTCACGGACATATCCGTGACAAAATATTTTGAAAAAAATTTGAAAATTTTAAAATAGAGTGAGCGGGAGCTTTAAAATTTTCAAAAAAATTCAAAATTTTGAATTTGTCACGGATCCCATCCGTGACAAAACATTTTTTTTAAAAAAAAAATACGTTGATTTAGCGTGAATTTATATTTTGTCACGGAACAGTCCGTGACAAAAGTTTAAATTTTTTTAAAAAAAAAATTTAAAAAATTCAGCGCATTTTTAAAAGTTTATTTCAAAAGTTTATTTAATAAAAAAAACCATTAAAATTTAGGCGCTTTTTCAAAAAATTAAACTTAATAATAAATAGTTAAACAATAATCATAATAAATAATTGTTTATAATAATAATCACAATCAACTATTACAAAACACCATCATAATAAATCACCATTAATCACCATTACACATTAGGTATCATAATAAATAATAATCTAATCAAACCATCATTATAAAACACAAATAAACTATTATTTAAACACAATCAAACCATTACACATTAATATTCATACATTAACACATCAAAATTTTAAAATCCTTAAAATGTTAATAAACTAATTATTACAAACCATCAATGGTCATCATAATCAGCATCAGCATCAGCATCATCAGGTTCGTCACGATGATCGGGTTGCCTTCCGTGGCCACGGCTGCCACCACGATGACCGCCTCGACTGCCACTGCGGCTGCCAGCACGGCTGCTGCCACGGTAAGCTTGAGCTCCGGGAGTCGGGATATCGTCATAATATCCATATGGAAAGTTGTTGGAGATGTGGCTATAATTAGCAAAACCCCTACTACCCATACTGCCCATATTGCCCATATTGCCCGCGAAGGGAACTTGTGGGGTCATCTCGGGGTGCTGTATGTGCATGGATGGACGGTAGGCTGATCAGCAGCTTTTAAAACATCTTGAAATCTTTCAGCTAAGTCTTCAATATGAGGAACATGAGAATTCGGATACTCATCCACAGCAGACTGATAAAAGGTCTGATCTTCATCCGCATCGGGTTGATACGAGGTCGAAGCTTCGGGAAGATCGTTAAATGGCTGTGGTGGGTTAAACTGCATCGTTGAAGCACCGTATACATCATATGCCATTCTTTGATCCCACGTCATTTGATCATAGTCTCCCCATCCACTCATCTCGGTAGGGACGTTACGAGATGAACCCACTGTTTGCGGTAAAAGTGATGGATCGAAAGGTTCACCATGAGAAGTCCAATTATAATAATTGGCAACGAAACCTTTTTCGTACAAATCCCACACAACTTGGTCGACATCTTTAAATTGAAGATTTTTACACTTTGTACATGGACATCTGATTTTATCTCCATCCATATAATTCTTCTGTTCTTGTGCAAATTTAATAAAATCTTCAACACCATTCAAAAATTCACTGCGTATTCCATAGTTATCACGATGTTTTTGGTACATCCAACTTCTGTTTTGTCTATACATTATGCCTGTATATATATTATAATCAAAATAATATATAAGTACATTAATATTATTAATTAACTAAAAGCAGTACATTATTTAATTTGTGGCATTAATAATTTGAATTAACCAACTTTAATTTGTGACATTAACTAAAAGCGTTGATTTACTAATATTTAACTAATAGTAATATGTTAATGGCATTAATCGTTTTAATTATTAACTACTAAAGTTTGAATCCTAACTGAAATCACTACAAATCCTAAATTATGCATTAACAATAATTAACTAATAAACAAATTAAACCTAATCATCATCATTGATCAATTAATTAACTAATATTTAAATCTAACTAATATTATCAACTCAAATTCCTCAATGTTTTAACTTAATTAATTAGTTAATTAATTTACATTTAACTAATATTATTGTTAAATATTATCTCATTAATAATTCACAATAATAATTCACAATAATAATTCACACTAAACTAAATAAAATTAAAGTTTCAACCCGGCCTAGCAATATATATTATGCATCCCATTAACAATAATTAACTAATTTAACTTATTAATTAGTTAATTTCCATTTAACTAATATTGTTAAATATCATTAATTCACAATAATATATAATTCACACTTAACTAATAAAGTTTGAATCCTAACTTAAATCACTACAAATCCTAAATTAATCATTAACAATAATTAACTAATTAATAAACAAATTAAACCTAATCATCATCATTGATCAATTGACTAATATTTAAATCTAACTAATATTATCAACTCATCAAATTCTAAACCCATTTCCTCAATGTTTTAACTTAATTAATTAGTCAATTAATTTACATTTAACTAATATTATTGTTAAATATTATCTCATTAATAATTCACAATAATAATTCACACTAAACTAAATAATAATAAAGTTTCAATCCTAGCTAGCTATATTAATTATGCATCCCATTAACAATAATTGCTAATAAATAATAATTGGTGATAACTAATAACCTAATAATTAAGCTAGCTAACTAATTAATTAAATCACTACAAGTCACTAATTAATTAATCTATAATAAGCTAGCTAATACTTAAATCATCACTACACATCCTAAATTATTATGCACTAATAATAACAATAATTTAACTAATTAATATTTATATTTAAATTTAACTAATAATTAATTATTTAACAAACCTCACTGATTAATTATTAAGCTAATAATTAATTATTATTATATAAAGAAAAAAGAATCCTAACCTCACTAATAATAATTAATTAATTAAGCTAATAATTAATTTATCACACAATTAAAGGAAATTAATTAAAATGACATACCTTATCAGCATAAACTCGGAAAATGATGAACTGACGGATTACATCATTCAATCTTTAAACCGATACTACATCACTCGAATCTACGAATTTTTAAACTGATTGTTGTTCTTGCAATTGTAATGGACGATGGAGTTGGGTTATATAAAAAAATTTGTCACGGATTTGTCACGGATTTATCCGTGACAAATCTTTTTCTGTACCGCATTATTAAAGGTTACCGCTGGAAAATCAATAATTGAGTTTTTTTTAAATTTGTCACGGATTCGTCACGGATTTATCCGTGACAAATCTTTTCCCATACCGTATTATTAAAGGTTACCGCTGGAAAATCAATAATTGTTTTTTTTTTAAATTTGTCACGGATTTGTCACGGATCTGTCCGTGACAAATGCCCGGAAGCAAAAAAGTATTCACCGGAGTAAAAAACCGGTAGCCGGAATAAATTTGTCACGGACCAAATCCGTGACAAAATTTTGTCACGGATTTTGTCACG